AACATCTTTGCCGACATGCAGAGGGACAAGCACGAACGCGAGGAAATGCTCGAGTACGGCGCGCGCCTTCCTTACCCTCTGCCCTTTCTCCATCGTCGCACGAACTATGCATCACTGATACACGCACACGCACATGCACACGCACACGCACACGCACACGCACACGACACTCCCAGAAAGCGCATGGGAGCCAAGAACGAGATCCACTTCCTCGAGAAGTCGGCCACCAAGGGCAGGGAGCTGCTCGGAGCCTTCTGGGACAATCGATCCGCCGAATTCCTCCAGGTACAAACGTAGTTACAGTTTCTTCTGGGTGGTGGTTGCGCTTTGTACTGATTGTCCGACGGGTGAGCAGAAATGGGAGGCGCTCTCGCTGGAGGAGAAGCGGAAGGTGTTGGGCGACACCCGCAACTTCCTGCTCACGATGGGCAGCGGTACGGTCTCTACACTTTCTTCTTCGCACAACACACACGGCACGCACGACACAACGAGACGCACGCAGCTTGTCCATTGAATGAGCCGCGTGATGGGTGGGCGCTGCAGGGTCCTACTCTACGGCGGTGCTCTACTGCCCCGAGCTCAACGTGGACGACCTCACCGCCACCGCGGATGCGCAGGCGCCGAGCGGCGCAGCACCTGCTGCCCAGGGCGGACTCACCTTCACGAGCCTGCTCAAGCGCTGCCTCGCCGACCCGGCCACGCAGGCGGACTCGTTCGCCGAACAGTTCCTGGCGCCGCTGGTCAAGCAGAAGCTGCTCGACACGCAGTTCGAGAGCGAGCGGGAGCGCAAGGAGCAGGAGCAGGAGGTCATGTCCATGGCGGCCATGATCACCGTCAGCCGCCGCTTCATCCTCCTCACCTTCGCCTGCAAGGTGCTCTCCGAGGTGCTGGGCGTGCCCTTCGACGAACTAGCCCCCGCCACCTCCCTTCTACAGCCCCTCAAGGCCGTCGTACGTCCGCCCCACCCACCCCTCCACTGCTCAACCTCGCTGCTGACGTCAGCTTTGTCCCCAATCGCCACCCGCAGGAGTCGGAGAATGTGCGCGGAATGCTGTTCAAGGAGACGCCCAACCTGCGAACCTGCTCCAACCCGAAGTGCGACAACCGGGAGACCAAGGAGAAGACGTTCCTCGTACGCCTCTAGACCCCCTCTTCCTCATCAAGTGCGATGAAACTTGATCGCACCCTCGACTGATGGCCATCGACGGCGAACAGGTGTGCTCGCTGTGCCGTAAGGCGGGCCTGTCCACGCCGTACTGCTCTCGCGGGTGCCAAGCCGGCGACTGGCCCGAACACAAGAAGACCTGCGGCGTGGCCACCGCGCCCGCCGGCCGTCCCGCGAGCAGCGGCGCCAAAATCGAAGAGCTCGTCGAAACCAAGCGTGAGCAGCAGCAGCAGCAGAAAGCATCATCACCTTCATCCTCTTCCTCTTCATCAGCACCACCAGCTCGCACTCAACAACAACAACAGCCCGACGCCGCTGGTGGTCCAGATCAGGTGTGGGAAAGGATCCCAGACTCCTCGCTCGCCGGGATTGACTGACTTTGATAAAACGTTTTGTTTTCGGTGGCCTTGTGAATTAATTTTCTTTTTCTTTTTGTATTTCCCGGTGGAGCTGGTGGCGTGGTTCAAGCAACCATAAAAGAAATGACACAATTAATAAAAAAAATTGGGAGCAATAAGCTTGGACAAAAGAGAAGAGAAGATGGAAGAGGAAGAGTACTCGGAGGCGTTCCACCACTACGCCAAGAATGGGCGGCTGGGGCCTCACGACCTGCGCGAGTTGATGAAGTACCTGGGCTACAATCCCTCGGACTCTGAAATTCGGGACATGATGCGACGTGAAGGAGGCGGGAGCGGCATCGACTCGGTGGACTACAACGATTTCC